GGCAGAGAGACGCGGGGCCGGGGCTCGGGCGGCGGCACGCACTGCCCGGGAGGAGGCGACCGGGTTGGGGGGCGGGGGGAGGGTGTGGCCCGGGTGGCCGAGGCTGGCGTGGGTTGGGGGCCAGGGTGCTCCAGGCTCCCCGGCCAGAGCCAACTTGATAGAGACTCGGGCCCACGCCCTAAGGGGTTAAACCTTTTCTCATGTTGCGGAGCGGTTTATAAGAAGGCTCGGGAGGCCCAGCCTCCGCCTTATTGGGAGCCTTTTGGGGTTTATTCTCTTCCCTTCTAACTTGGTGAGTTGGTTTTTTTTTATTATTTTACATGCTTAAAAGTTTGATTGTGGGGGTATGGATTTTTTTGGGGTTTTTTTGTTTTGTTTTAAATATATGTCTTGGGGCCTTTTTTTTAGGGCGGGGAGGAGGAGGAAAGCGCTTAACATTTTAACATTTTGAAGAGGTGAATCCGAAAAATATTCTGACAGTTGGGAGTGCGGGGGGCCACCGGCATGACGCGCTCTCGGGCAGTTGTGGGCAGCTGAGAGTTGAATGTCCATGACCCTAAACAGATGGGTTCTGGGAAATACCTTAAAGGGTGGCCTGGGCTTTGATCGTCCCCAAACCGGGGTGAAAGTACCTAGGCTGTGAAGTGAAGAGAGTCCGGCAACCGTCTCAGACCGTCTGTGGATTTTCCACTTGAAGTTGCTTGCGCGTCACCAGAGCGAAATGTCAAAGAGAGGTACCTTCCTTCCCTAGGCTCGCGCGCGCGCACAGGCGGCCACTGAGGCAGCGCGAGGGAAAGAGGGACTCCGGGTCTCCATCCCCTATTACCCCACTCCCCAGGGCGGTCCTAGGGGGAGACAGATTTCGCCTCAGAGCGTAGGTCCCACACCTTGATGGTCTGCACTGTCACCCACTGCCAGCCGGTCCCGCGTAACTTCCAAGGTTCGCGGGGCTACCAGCTGCAGCGAAGTGTCTGAGCTGAGCGGCTCCAGGCGGGGAGGGAAAAAACGATTTTGCAGAGGAAATAGGTTAATTTCCTTCTGGGTTGTTTTCATTCCCTGCACCTCAGCAGACAAGTGATAGAAGTTTGTTAGGTGGCGTGTAAAATGTCATCAAACACGAGGGTGGGGGGAGGGTCGTAGAAAAAGCTCTCGGGGTTCCAACTGGGGAAACGCAATTACAACTTGTTAACCTGGAAGCTGGTTCTGTTTGCACAGTAGACACTGTGCCAGCTCCTTTTGCGGAAGAAGGTTTTTACCTTTGGATTGAGATTTCAGCCTCCGTGATCTGACTGTTTTTGAAAAACCGTACTGATGAGTGTCTAACTGCAAGAAACTACCAGATCCTAGGAGATCTCCCCGTGTACCAGCGCTATTATGTGGCCTTGGGGGGGTTGGGGTTGGGGACGCCATCGAAACACCTTTTCTGGCAATTAAGGGAAGGGCGTCTAAGATAGAAACTGACAGTACGTAAATAAACAATGCAGCCAAGTGGAAAAATGGTCTTAATGAGTACCACTAGCCCTGAGTTTCCCTTCTGTGGTTTCCAGAAACAGGACTTTTCCTCAGTGGAACTCCTGGGGAAGACACTTAAATTAGGGGCTTGGGTTTCAACTCAATGGTCTTGCAAAACGGATGAATTGGTTGTAGCCAGTGATTCATACAACGTGGCTGAGGCAGCTTACCAGGTTAGAGTTGTTTTTTTTTTTTTTTAAATAGAGACTTCAAACGAACTTCCCCCACTCATAGACTGGTCTGGACAGCTGGGACTAGAGACAACTTGTCGGAAGCCATATCCTCCAGGCTACACCTTGAAGGAGATTCCCAGTGCTTTGGTTCTGCTGACGTCAGCAGCCATCTTACTGCCTTCCTAGTCAGTCTTTTGAACTTCGACCGGAACTGACCCTAGGCTAACCCCAGAGGCTGTATGATAATCCAGTATTTGCCTTCATGCCAAATCCTTACAACAGCGTATTAAAGTACAGTGAAAGTCCCAGGTAACATGTATCTCCAAGTCTTGTGGGATATCCATTTATTTAGGGTGTGCCTCCTCCACTCACCCCCTTCTGTGAGACAGAGTAGCCCCGAACTGGCCTGTGAAGCTCACTGTGTAAGTGAGCCTGGCTTCAAACTCATAGCTCACTTCCTGCCACGGCTTCCTGAGTGCAGCGTCTTTAGGTCTCTGAGCAAAGAATCTCGTTCCATTTTGTTTCATTTGGCTGGTTTTATTTTACATTCTCTCCTTTTTCCTTCTTGAAGGAGACAATGCGGGAACCAAAAGCTACTAGGAAATGTATCATGGGACACTGGGGGTCTTGGGAAGAAGCCAGTCAGAAAATACCAGAGACTGCTTTCACAGATGAAACTGAGCCATCAAGAGGTTTCTGCCAGGGAGCAAACTATTACCTGAGGGCTTCCAGAAGAGAAACCCGCTGGCCTCCCTGTAGTTGGTAACTCAGAACCAGTCCGGGTCAAAGGCCATCTTTGAAATTGCCTCTCCTTAGGAGAAAAGATCTGGCCTCAGACTCTAATTAAGTTCAGAATTCACATGTTGTGATCCCTGAAAATCAAGAAATGAGGTAGTTGCCCAGGACCGTCAGGTTGCTTAAGCAACCTTGCCAGTTAGATCCCCACAAGGCCCTTCTGGCCAGGTACCAACCGATAAACCAAAGGGGCAGGCCATCTGCATTCTGTTACTTAAAGAGGCTCTTGAGTGGTCGGGTTGAAGACTTAGGCTTCAGTCGCTCTGTGCTCAGTGTGACAGTCTGTGGAGCTAGACAGCCTGCTGAATAAATGGCAGAGGAGGAGAAGAGCTGAAGAAACTGCTTATTCAGGAACCAGACACTTCCTCATCTTACATGTGCATTGCTTTGGGGGTGTCCCAAGACTCTTACTGTGCTTAGTAAACTTTGACGGGGCCTGTTTTTGTTTCTGTTGGGTTTTAATGGTTTTTGCTTTGTTTTTCGGGGGGCTGTTTATTTTTTGTGGGGGGAGGAGAAGGTCGACAGTACCGTAGCCCAGACTGAACTTTAATTTTTTTTGAGACAGTGTCTTGCTGTGTAACCAAGCCGGTAATCCTCCTGCCTCAGTCTTCTTCTGAGTGGACCACAATACCCAGTTTTTTTTTGTAAACTTTTAGCAAGCATATGTGATACACAAAATGTTACACAGGCAGCCGGTCTGAGAAGAGGAGCTGATTGCCTGCCTTGTGCAATCCCTGCCCCCTCCCCCATTGGTGTTGAAAGAGGGGCTCATTTCAACTCAAACCAGCCCAAACTTGCCACATAGCCACAGGTAACCTTAAATTCCTGATACTCATGCCTCTGCCTCCCCGCATGTTAGGTAGCATGCTACCATGGCTGAGATTTTATGTTCAGTCTTAGGTGATTGCACACCGGTCTCATCTCCCAGTAAGGCTTCCACTCTGTTATCAGGGCTACATTGTGGTCTTAGCTCACATATAGTAGTAGGACATAGGATGCTCCAGACTCGTAAAGGAATAAACTTCGGAGTTAGTTTGGTGAGGTCATCTTACCTTTATGATAATCCCAGAAACAAGGAAGCAAGTTTTGTTCCCCTTAAACCTGGATTCCTTGGGCATGGTTGGTCTATGGTTTTAATTCCAGCACATGAAAGGCTGAGACAGGAAGCTGGCTGGGGCTATATCATAGATGCAAGTGAAAGTTATATTTGGTTGTAACCAGAACAGAGAGGCATAGACAAAAAGCAGGATTTAAAAGCCACAAGTAAAGGCTGGGCGGTGGTGGTGCATGCCTTGCCTTTAATCCCAGCTTTCGGGAGGCAGAGGCAGGCTGGTCTACAAGAGCTAGTTCCAGGACAGGCTTCGAAGCTAAATAAATAAAAGCACAATCGCCCAGCAGGGCTCAGAAAATAAACAGAAGCCAAAAGTTGACTGCCTTCTGGCAGCTGCCATAGTTCAAATCTGATGTCCAGCTGCTTTACGCCCACTCAGGCAAGACCCTTCCAGGGTTCGCGCTTTTCCTCTTAGCTCAGTTTCCTCGGGCCACCCACTAGGTTCAGCCTGAAAAGTCAGCTGATGAACAGATTTGAATGCTAAAGTCAGACAGTGTCGGTTGGGTGAGGCCGGGGCGACTCCAGTCACTGCTGGCTTTGGTGGAGCACGCTTTTAATCCCAGCACTTAGGAGGCAGAGGCAAGCAGACTGATATGAGTTCAAGGCCAGCCAGATCTCTGTCCACATCAAGTTCTAGGACAGTCAGGGCTACGTAGAGATACACCATCTTAATAAACAACAACCAAGAGATTCCCCAGTTGCTTTTCCTTTGCCTGAAGAGTGTGGAGGAGGTGGGAATTGACTAGCTCAAATCGCACAGTTGCGTGGCTAAGCAGTTGAAGACCTCTGTATATGGAGATCAAGGACACTTTGGGGATGGTGAGGTGGTTGAGTGGGCAAAACTGACAACCTAAAAAAGAACCTAGCTGGTGGAAGGAGAGAGTCAACTCCCACAAGCTGGTCTCTGACCTCCACATGTGAGCTATGGCATGAATACACCCCACTCCTCCCAAACATACCTTTAAATAAATAATATTTTTAAAAATTTGAAGAGTGCTTTGTCAGACTGAGGATGTAGCTTAGGTGCTAGACTGCTTGTCTGACATGGACGAAGCCTTGGGTCCCTGGTATCACATAAGCCAAGGGTCATGGCTGATGCCTACAATCCCAGCACTTAGGAAGTCTTGGAGGACCAGAAAGGTCAGAAGTTCAAGGTTATCCATAGCAGTTAAGAGGCCAGCCTGAGCTAAGTGAGACCGTCAAAACAAAGGTGCTTTGACAAAAATGCCTTCCTCGCAATGGACATGGAAAGCACTTCCCTCCCTGGCCTTTAGTCTGCTGCTCTGTCTGTTGACTTGGACAATCTGATTCTGGACTGTTTGGGCCAAAACCCTTTACCTCCCTGGACCTGTTTCCCTGTTTTGCCAATGAGGAAGAGAACAAGCTGACTTTGGGCTCCCTTGCAGCCTCAACCTCCTGTAATTCTAATTCCGTTCGAAGGCTGTAGGTTGGTCCTCACATCACCCAGCTTTTTCAAGAGTAGTGTGAGCAGCTGCAAGCCGAACTCTGAGGTTGTCTGGACACAGCCTTCTGGTGATGGGGACCTTCAGTTCAGCTCAAACTACATTTGCGGTGAAGGTGTGCACCTTTAATCCCAGCACTCGGGAGGCAGAGGCAGGAGGATCTCTGTGAATTCAAGGTCACCCTGGTCTACAGAGTGAGTTCCAGGACCAAACAGTCAGAGCTACACAGTGAGAACCCCTCCCCCCCGCATCTCAAAAAATAGAAAGAAATAAAAACTAGATGTGAGTTGATAGTCGAGACATAAAAAATCAGATTTTGTGCCCTTATCTTCTAATTGAGCAGATAAATAAGACAAAGGCATGAAAGGAGATAATTCCCCGTTAAGTGGTCCTCCCCCATGAAGACCAGACCACCTTAGCTGAGTTTGCCAGAGGAGGCCTGATGGGATGATGGAAAAGGAGGACCAGAATGAGCAGGACTGTGGAGGGTACCACGGCAGCCGTAGAGACTGCGCATGCAGCTTGAAGAAATGACGACTAAAAGCAAGGTAGCAGGAAAGAGCAAGAGCCACCAGAAGCCTTATTTGACCTTAGCAAGTGAGTCAAGTTTCAGAATCAGAAGGGGAAAGACTACTGAGAGAGGCTCACAGAAAGCGAGGCTCCTTAGTAGGCTTTATCCTTCAGAAAGAGCAAAGCGATTGGCAAGCGCGCACACACACGCACACACACACGCACACACACACATACACACACACCTAGCAACGCAATGTTAGCCTGGAGGAACCTGTGGACTTCACAAGGAGACGGTCCAGGAGATGGATTAGATGACAGCCAAGGCCCCGACAGCTGCAGGTTTACCACCACTGTGACTCCCCCAGGGACAACCGCTGTCCCAAAGCCAACACTAGCAAGTCTTGATGGCTGTGTGCGGTCTTCTGCCCCAGCTGCCCGCCTTCGGGGTGACTTTGAAAGGCCGATGAAGGAGGACTGTTGGAGAAACTTCTGCTGGCGACTCCTATCATAGATCGAATACTTTCCGTGTCCCGGACACTAATAGCTGCCCTGAAGCTGCCCAGACTACAATCTGGAGCTCTTTCCCAGCCCTTACTGCCTTTTTATTCATCCTCAGGCACGGTGGGCAGCGTGCAAAGACCTTTGCTGCAGTGAGCCTGGGCCTCCTAACACGGCCCATGTCCTGTTTCCCTCAGCCAAAGACTTAACAGAATTTGAGAACATGAGGATATAGCTCCTTCAAATACCAGACTACCACGGGGGAAATATCAATAGGCTGAATGAGAATAAGCTGGGTTAGCTATGTCGCTGTTTAAGATTTGTGAGCCAGGCCAATGAGATGTTTGCTTTCCATTGTGCCAAGCCTGACCGGTTGCCTTTCCGTCCCCAGGACCCACACGGTGGGAGGAGAGAACTGAGTTCTGAATGTTGTTCTCCGACTTCCACACGCATGCTTAGTGCAGTGCTTCTCAGGCTGTGACCTCTGACCTCTACAAGTTGTCCCCTGACTTCCACATGCATGCGTAGGCACATGGGCACACACACATAGGTACAGAATTAATTTTGTGAGATAGGGTTTCTCTGTGTAACAGTCGGGCTGTCCTGGAACTAGCTTTTGTAGACCAGGCTGGCCTCGAACTCACAGAGATCCACCTGCTTCTGCCTCCCAAGTGCTGGGATTGAAGGCGTGCGCCACCCACCACCATCCAACCACACAATTTTTAAATTTACAAAAACCTCACAAGCTCGCTGCATACATTCAAACTTTTGGTTTTGTTTTTTGTTTTTTCAGTACCCTAGTACATATAAAATGCCAGCCACTTGGGAAGCTGAGGCAGGAGAATCCCAAGTTTAAGGCCTGCCTGAACAGCTTATCAAGAATCTGTGTCAAGATTTAAAAAAAAAAAAAAAGTCAGGGCAGGGGCGGCACCTGTAGCTCAGTGATCTATTCCCTACCTAACTTGTGCAAGGCGCTGTATTCCATGCTCCGTACTGAAAAAGGAAAGGAAAGAAACACGTTGGCCTTAAGCCTTGGTGAAAAATCTGAAAACTTCACCAGTGTGAAATGAGACAATCCTAATCCTCTATTGTTGTTTGTTTGGGAGGGTGGTTTGTTTTGTTTCGAGGACAGGGTCTCCTGTAGCTCAGACTAGCCTTGACCTTGTTAGGTGTGTGCCCAGGCGAGAGTGCTCATTGTCTTAACCACTGAGCCATCTTTCCAGCACCTCCTTATTGTCAATATGAGCTCTGAAACTATGGTTTAATTTATCAGTGGGCAACACTACCTTTTAGTCGGACTAAAACTATGTAACTAAGGCTGCTTCTTAATATGTATAGTTTAATCTTATCACTCCATTGGCTCTAGAATCCCCAGGAGACACACTTCTGGACTTGTCTGTGAAGGATTAGGCTAATTGACTAGGAAGCTCCTCCTTAAATTGGGCGGGGTCCTCTCTTGAAGCGGTATAAAAGGGAGCGCTGGTTGAGCCTAGAGAGCCATTGCTTTCTGAGTCTTGACTCTGGATGACCTACTCTCCAGCCCCTGATTTCCCCACCTTTGATGGATTGCATCCTTAGACTGTGAGCCCAAAGAAACCCACTCTTCCTTAAATTGCCTTTATCAGGGTATTTTTGTCTCCACAATAACTTGACCCGTCTCCCTCCAGTGTTAGTGTTTTTAGCTGTGTTAAGACTCAGGACTGCATACTCCGTTGTTTGAAGAGAAAGTCGTAACGAGATCAGAAGTTGACACGCTAAGGGCCGCACAGGTCTGGAATGCCTCATTTAGCCGATGTTAAGTGTTTGTCATGCGTTCTAAAATTAATTGGCTCCTGGTGATTGACTTTGAGGAACAGAATCTGAATTCAGAAAATGCTTAGGTTTTCACGGTCAGAGAGTTGCCTTTTGTCCAGGAAAATACATCTACGTGGGACAATGAACAGTAATCTGGATGCTGTTTGCTAAGGGGGAATTGGGAGCTAGAAGGGTTGGCTGGGTGACTTGAATGGTCAGTGCTACCAAGGAGAAATGTATAGGAAGTCACAAGCCACAAGGGCTTGATTCGTGGAAGGTGTGGCCAGTCCCCTCAATGTTTGCTTCCTCTTTCTTTCCCTTCCTTTCTTCTTTCTTTCTTTTCTTATTTTTTTTTTTTGTTTATTTTGTTTTTTTAAAACAGGGGTTTTTTTGTGTAGCCCTAGCTCCCCATCTGTAAACCAGGCTGGTCTCAAACTAAAGAGATCCACCTGCCTCTGCCTCCTGAGTGCTGGGTGTGTGCCACCATGCCTGGCTCCAGTTCATTTTCTTCATCTGATTTATATTTTTGGATATCAGCACCGATGCTTGGTCTGGTGGGCATTCTGTGCCTTTCAAAGGGCCTTCAAATAATCTCTGGTTCCTTGTCTCTGTTTATTGTTTCTCCCTTTTAATTATGACAGGTCCTATTTTCAAATTCTTTCTGGGCCCCATGTATAATTCAAAGATAGATATAAAATTGCATAATACTACACTAACTCTGCATGGTTTAAATATTTAGTAAATAGTTCTTACCGGTGATGTTTACTAAAGATGATTAGAATCAGATGAGTGTGGTGGCATGGATCTTTAATCCCAGCATTTGGAAGGTGGAGGCAAGATGATCAGAAGCGGTCATCGGTCATCCTTGCGTCATGAGTTCAAATTCAAGGCCAGCTTGGTCTGAGTGAGACTCTGCCTCACAGAAGAGAGAAAGATGAAGAGGAGGAGAGAGGAGAATGATCAACCCTCCAGGCTGGTCTGAATTCTTTTTCTTGTGTTTTAATTTCAGATCAAGAATGACCCAAAAGAACTCAAAGCTTTGTTCCAGAGCCAATGTGTATACCCAAGTGCCTGATGGAGGATGGGGCTGGGCAATAGCTATTGCTTTTTTCTTCGTTGAAGTCTTTACCTATGGCATCATCAAGTCATTTGGTGTCTTCTTTAATGACTTAATGGACAGTTTCGATGAATCCAACAGCAAGATCTCATGGATAATATCGATATGTGTGTTTGTGTTAACATTTACAGGTGAGTACATGGATACTGTTGGGCTAGCTTTACCCAAAATAATTACACGGAAACTGTATTCATTTAAACACTGTCTGGCCCATTATATCTAGCCTCTTCTTGGCTAACTCTCACATCTTAATTAACCCATTTCTAATAATCTGTATGTCACCACATGACTGTGGCTTACTGGGATGAGTCTAACCTACATCCGTCTCAGAAAGGAGGGTCATAGCGTCTGCCTGACTCTGCTTTCTTCCTCCCAGAATTCTGTTCTGTCTACTCCACCCACCTAAGGGCTGGCCTATCAAAAAGCCTAGGCAGCTTCTTTATTTAACCAATGAAAGTAACACATAGACAGAAGACCCTCCTATATCAGGATATGTGTGTTTTTTCCGGGCAGTGGTAGAGCACGCCTTTAACCCCAGCACTCAGGAGGCAGAGGCAGGCGGATCTCTGTGAGTTCAAGGTCAGCCTGGTCTACAAGAGCTAGTTCCAGGACAGGCTCCAAAGCTACAGAGAAACCCTGTCTTGAAAAACCAAAAAGACAAACAAAAATAAAAATAAAAAAGAAAAGATATATGTGTTTGGGTTAACGTTTACACACTAGTATATCTGTCAGCACAAGCTTAGCCTTCTCACCCAGCCCTTTTAATCTGCCCGCCTACTTGACAACAGTCAGTGTATCTGTGATGCAGTCTCTCATATGTCCTGTTGGACTCTCCAGTCTTGATTAAGGAATGCAGTTTTCAGAGGGTTGGGGACCAGCAAGAATTAGGTCCCAAATGTAATGTCTTTAGTCTAACACACACATTAGATAGGTATAGTCTGCAGCTTGGGAAGGCGTTCGTTGGGGAATATAAGACCCTAAGTTCAATTCCCAGCACCACACGGAAAGAAAAGGAAGTAAGATATCTATAATGTGTATGGTACGAGTAGACTGCAGAACACTTTGAAGACAGTGGTAAACCCCAGTTCTCCAAGGACGTAGTTACTGGCTAAGGAAGCAACATCCAAAAGTCCCTAGGCACTGGCTTCATCAGCCCATGCTCTGAAAATGGAGCCATACGGAAGATTAGCATGGCTCCTGAGCAAGACTAACGTGCAAAACCATGAAGCGCCTCATTCTTTTAAATGATTAAGGGTGTTCTGCCTGCATGATCTGAGTACCAGGGCGTGCCTTGGACAAAAGGAGTCTAGAAGAGGATAGAGGATCCCCTGGAACTGGAGTTATGGACAGTTTTGATTCACCATGTCGGTGCTGGGAATTGAACCTGTGAACCTGGGAATTGAGCCCTGTGGAAGGGCAGTCAGTGCTCTTACTTGATGAGCTACTTCTCTAGCCCCTCTCTGTTTTTAAAAAGAAACTCATTTGGGGCTGGAGAGGTGGCTCAGAGGTTAAGAGAACTGGCTGCTCTTCAGGGGTCCTGAGTTCAATTCCCAGCAACTACATGGCGGCTCACAACTATCTATAATGGAATCGGATGCCCTCTTCTGGTGTAAAGTTGTAAATGCAGATAGAGCACTCAGACATAAGATAAATAAATACATCTTTTAAAAAAAACATTCATCTGTAGATAGAGCGGCGGGCTGTGTTCCCGCCTGGCTCCCAGCTAGCTTACCCCCGAAATAATTACACAGAAACTGTATTCTTTTAAACACTGCCTGGCCCATTATCTGTAGCCTCTTATTGGCTAACTCTTACATATTGATCTAACCCATTTCTAATAATCTGTGTAGCACCACGAGGTGGTGGCTTACCAGGAGGATTCTAACCTGCAGCTGTCTTGGAGAGGAGAGTCATGGCAACTGCCTCATTGCCTTCTTCCCAGCATTCTGTTCTGTCTATTCCACCCACCTATATTCTGACCTATCAGGCCAAGGCAGTTTCTTTATTAACCAATGAAAGTAACACAATAGACAGATGACCCTCCTCCATCACTCATCTACATAGTAAGGCTCTGGGCTCATAGTGACTTCCTGAGGAAACAGAGTAGAAACATTTCATGGTGGACACAGGAAGAAGAGAGATGGGGGGAAGGGTAAGGGCTAGGCCATCAGCCCTCTGTCTTAGGGTTCTCACTCACAGACTCAGCCAGCCAGGCTGAAAATGTTACACAGCTGTTGACCAGTACGAGGTCTGCCACAGTTAACACAACCAGAAGTCTTCCTTGCTTCATTAGCCTACCCTAAGCACGCTGTAAGAGGTGTTGACATGCTGTTACCTTGTATTGGATTGTAAGGATCTGGAGATGTAAGTACATGGAGGACGTGCTTAGGTTATGTGCAGATACTATGTCGGCATAAGAAACCTGAACACCCGTGGATTTGAGTCTCCCTACAGAAGAGGGAGTCCCAGAGACATTCCCCATAAGATTACAATTTTGGGGTTTTCTTTTTCTTTATTTTTATGGCACTAGAAACTAAACCTCATGCATGCTAGGCAAGCATTCCACCCCTAAGCTATACCCCCACTCGTAAAATTACAACTACTGTCCTGGGGACACGGAGTCCCATCACCTGACTCCCCAAAACCTGATCCGTCACAGCATAATCCTCCCAAATCCAACAGCATGAAGCCAGATGGGGGTGAGGGCTGGTGCCACTCTTACACACGCGGTGTCGCTTGGATGGGCCTGACTTGCGTGTGCATGCTGACATCTGATGCCCATCCGTCTGTGAGAGCCAACACCAAGGCTTTCCTGAGAGGACAGCATGCTGAGGTCGCCTCAGGAAGCCGCCAGGCTGCCCTTTGCGCTTCCCTGACTCAACACCACTGCCGCGCAGTGTCGCCTGTGAGGTTACTGCTGAGGTTAGACCCACTCTCTGAATACAGTTCATTTTAGTCATGTAACCTCCTAAAAGGATGCTCTCTCTCCTGTCGGTTTGCTTCTGAGAGAGGATTTCACTATGTAGAAGTGGTTGTATCAGCATCTGCCAACATAAGCTTGCAGGTGCTAGAGGCCAAGGTGATATGAGTTTGATCTCTGAGACCCATGTGGTAGAAGCAGCGAAACTGCTCCCGAAAGTTGTCCTCCAGCTACCACCGGTGCTCCCACAGACAACGTACAACACATGGTGCTCCCATATACTACACACATACATGCATACACTCATACAGTTTTAGGAGTTAAAAACTGTATGTTTACACTCTGAATACTAACAGTGCAGAATTCCTTCCTTTCCCTTCCCATCCCTCTGTCTAGTGTGTGCCTCTTTGACGCAACTCTCAGTGGTTCACATAGCTTACTGTCCCTCCTGCCAGCGTTAAATAGCACGTAAGTAGGAAAGAATTTGCTAGATTTCATTGTCCCAGGGGATAGAGTGTATAGAAGTCAAGCAAACTGAGATTCCTCAGTGTTCTGCCGTCGTCTTCTAAGTGAACATGTCTGAGAACTGGCCTTATCTCTGCCCTGTGTCAGTCAAATGAAACTAAGACTTCGACCACAGATGGGATTCTTTTTAAAAGAATCCGAAGCAGGGATGATAGAAAATAAAGACAATTAGAGTGGTCCCAAGGAAAGCCAGTATATGCTGGAGAACCAAAGAAATGCATATGTAACTTTGTCTTTCACATGGCAAGCCAAGACAGTTCACCTGAACACGTCTTTTGTATAGCTCCCCTCATAAACGCTTTCATCTAAGCCTTTGCTCATGCTGGGCAAGCACTCTACCCCTGAGCTCTACCCCAGCCCCTTGTTTTCCTCTTGTGAATTTGTTGTTAAGGCACTGGAGGATTGAACCTAGGACCTGGCTGCTGCTAGCAGCTGCTCTGCCCGCGAGAGCTGCATCCCCAACCAAGGGTGGCCTTGAACTTGCAATCCTCCTGTCTCAGCTTAAGTAACTGAGATTGCATTCTCGTACCAGGGCCCGGCTCTTTGTTTTAAATCGGAGCGAATGCTGAAATCACCTCTGGCCTGACCTGTGGCTGTTGCAGGAAACACACTAGGTTCTTACATCACCCCTTCAAGTCCACAGCAAAGCCAGCCCCGAAGCCCACGTTCACAGGTCCCTTTCTGTCCCTTTTCCCCTCCGCAGCGCCCCTTTCCACGGTCTTGAGTAACCGCTTTGGACATCGGCTGGTGGTGATGGCAGGAGGGCTGCTCATCAGCACGGGAATGGTTGCTGCCGCCTTCTCCCAAAAGGTCTACCACATGTACATCTTCATCGGGGTCATCTCGGGTGAGTGTCTCTCTCCGTGGCTGGGAACCCAAATTGTATTTCTTCTTTCCCCCCTTTTTTTTTTCTTTCAAGTTAATTATGTCTGAGATCAGTGATTTTTGAGCCAGGTGATATGGGTCCCGGGTAAAAATACATTCTCAAGTTCCAAGCACCCAGAGCTTTGTAAGGGGAAAACAGTACACTGGACTCAGTGTTGGTGGTGTCTAAGAAGGCACTGACAGTAGCTGATATATACGTGTGTGTGTATGCCTAGTTTGCAAATTTTAAACTTTGTATGGAGCCCTGCACACATCAAAAGCCTAAACTGGCCAGACAGGATGACACTTGCTTATAATCTCAGCACTTGAGGGTGAGGTGCAGACAGGGAGAGCGTGAACGTGGGGCCAGCCTGAGCTACAGATCTCAAAAGAAGAAAGGAAAGAGACATTTATTTCAAATACAAATATTACATAAAAACTACTATGATAATTGATTCTACTGTGAATTGTATAAATTTGGGGAGCTCTGGAGAACAGTTCTCAGTTCTTTTTTGTTTGTTTGTTTTTGAGTTAGGATTTCTCTGTTGCTTTGGAGCCTATCCTGGAACTAGCTCTTATAGACCAGGCTGACCTCAAACTCACAGAGATCCACCTGCCTCTGCCTTCCGAGTGCTGGGATTTAAGGCGTGCTCTACCACCGCCTGGCCAGTTCTTAGTTCTTATATCTTAGTATCTCTAAATGACTGTTGCAGTATTTCTTTGTTTATTTATTTTTGAGGCAACCTCCTGTATCCCAGGCTGGCCTCCAAGTGACTGTGCAGTAGCCAAAGGTAACCTTGAACTCCTGACGTTCCTGAGCACTGGGGTTACAGGTGTGCATTAATTACTATGCCCACTTCTCTGAGTACTGGGGACTGAACCCAGGGCTTTGTGCGTGCTAGGCAAGTACTCAGCCAACTGAGCTACACCCACCGCCCTTCAGGGCTGAGATGAAATCCATTTTCTTGGCTGTCGTTTTCTGCAGGATGAATGGGTTGGCTCCCGGAACTCGTACAAAGCTCTCCTGTACGCTAGCCAGCCCTCCAGGTTCAGATGAAGTATGGTCCTCACTGGCCCTTTTGATTGTTGCCCACAGGTTTGGGGTACTGCTTTAGCTTCCTCCCAACTGTCACCATCCTGTCACAGTACTTTGACAAGAGGCGTTCAGTGGTCACTGCTGTGGCGTCCACAGGAGAGTGCTTCGCCGTGTTTGCTTTTGCACCAGGTAGGTGAGTTACAGTGACTCATTACCGAGGGACCAGGTAAGCCACTCTGGGGCTATTGCTGTGCGAAGTTCCGACCCAACCGACCCGACCGTGTGGGTGACTCTCACTCTGCATCAGGAGATGTCACTTGTGCCCTTCAGCTGTTAGGATCTCCTCCTCCTCCTCCTCCTCCTCCCCTGTTTTAGGAATTCACACCGTGTTAATCTTAGTCCGCGTTTTACATAAACGGGCACATAATCAGTGGTAAGGCTTTCTTGAAACACGAAAAGATAATCCCTAAGTTATTTAGTAATTTGGACTGTTTGTATTATTATCCTTCCCTTTCCAAAAGAGCTACATTCGGTGTAGATTTAAATCATGCCGACAAAAATCAGTTTTCTTGTGTGACCGCGAATAATCTCACAGCCAACGCTTTATCCCTGGTTTATCTCCCCGCAACTTACTACAGGAAACACAAGAAAAGTGCTATAGTGGATAGACAACCTTCTACACCCCGATTCCTTTCTTTCCCTCCTTCCTTCCCCAGTTCCCTGCCTGCCCTGTCCTTGCTGAGGATCAAATTCCGGACCTTTAGCAGGCTAGGCGAGCGGTGGACCACTGAGCTGCTGCATCCTGACCCAATGCTCGCTTTCTTTCTTTCTTTCTTTCTTTTTTCCTTTCTTTCTTTCTTTTCTTTTCTTTTCTTTTTCTTTTTTTTTTTTTTTTTTGGTTTTTGAGACAGGGTTTCTCTGTAGTTTTGGAGCCTGTCCTGGAACTAGCTCTTGTAGACCAGGCTGGCCTCGAACTCACAGAGATCGCCTGCCTCTGCCTCCGAGTGCTGGGATTAAAGGCGTGCGCCACCACCGCCCGGCCTCCCAATGCTCTTTCTTGAATGCATCGGGTGGGCTGTGAGATTGCAAACAGGAGTGATTAGGAGCGGAATATTATCATATCTGAAACTTTTCAGGTGATCCACACCTGAAATATATATGGTTCACACATATCTTTATATATATATAGACATACATATATAATATATACACATACAGACAGAGAAATCATGTTAATTGTTGAACTTAGGTGAAGGATAAGCATTTGGGTGCCATTCTCTCCCTTTGACAAGAGACGAAATCAGTGGCCTGCAAGTGCCCGAGGGTGGAAAAGCACATTATTCAGTAGTACTGGGCGTTACTCCTGGCATCTGGTTCATCCTTAAGAAATGTTCCATGAGGACCTGGACAGATGGCTTGGTGGTTAAGAGCACTCACTGCTCTTACAGAAGACCCAGGTTCAATTCCCAGCACCCACAAACCCTCATGGTGGCTCACAACCACCTGTAACTCCATTCCTGGGGGATCTGGTGTCCTCTTCCAGCCTCTGAGGGCACTGCATGCATGCAGTACACATTCCGGCAGACAGTCTCACACACAGAAAATACAAATAAAATCTCAAAAAAGGGGTTTTGTTTGTTTGTTTTTTCAGTTTCACTGTGTTGATGGAGATGCATGTCCTTCTTGACCATCTCCCTCTCAGCCTCAGCTGCTTCTGGTCAGCAGCCTCCACCCTGCCCTGGGTTCACAGTGAGAGAGGCAAACACCATGTGGCTAAGGACATGATCAGGGAGAAACTGGAGCATTGTGTTCTTAAATGCTAGGATAAGAGAGAAAGTCTGTCTTTTGAGTTAGGGTCCGCAGTGGAGGTCTGCAGGCATCTGTAGAAAGGGGTGGACAGCCCCCAGGAAAGAGTGAGGAAGCCCAGGGTGTCAGGACAGCCGTGCTTAGGAGTTTGGTATCCAAAAAAAGGACATCCAAAAAGAAATGTTGGCATTTTTTTTCCTTTTTCTTTTTGAGACTGGGCTTCTCTGTGTAGCTTTGGAGCCTGTCGTGGAACTTGATCTGTAGACCAGGCTGGCCTTGAACTCACAGAGATCTGCCCTGCCCCTGCCTCTTGAGTGCTGGCATTAAAGGTGTGCACTACCACCAGCTAGGAAATGTCACGCTTTTGAGTTAGAACTTGAAAAGCAGGCAAGCTTCACGGTGAGGGTCTTGGCAACTGCCTCTTATTTTATTTTTTATTTCCTTCATTGCTACAAAGATGGAGAGAGAGCACAGGATGTATAGTGATACAGTTCAGAGTCAGATAAATCGTGTTTACTAAAGGTCAGCTAGAAATTTAAAAAAAAAAATACTGTACTATTTTTGTGGTACCTGAGGGGCAGCACCCAGGGCCCCCTGCATGTGAGTGCCTACCACTAAGAGAATATCCTCAGCCCTGGGGACACGTTAAGCTTTGGGGACTGTGCGTGTGTGTGTGTGTGTGTGTGTGTGTGTGTGTGTACTACTCAATTCTGCTGTCTCAGCACAGAGCATCCACTAGGTGAACGTGCAAACATGGTTCGATTCCAGCCCAGTTTTATTAACTAAAACAGACAGTGGCTGAGATTTGACCTGTGGGCTATTGTTTGCTGAGCCCTAATGTGGATTGCAGGCATAGCCTCCGTAGGCCTCCGCCTGAAAATCCCGAAGCTTTGAAAAACTAGGCTGACAGTTTTTATAACATGATAATAATGAGTGTGCACATTTTCTTACTTTCACAAAATGCACCAGAACTCAGAATAAAGGGTAATCTACAGAGCTGGGGCCATATCCCTATGCAGTGCAAGCGTAAGACCCTAAGTGTGGATTCCCTGCAGCTGTATGGTGGCACATGCCTGTGTTCCCAGCAACGGGGACATAGAGACTGAGGGATCCCTGGAATCAACTGGTCTTGCCGAATTCCAGATTCAATAAGAGAGTCTGTCTCCAAGAGTAAAGAGGCAAGGATTATAGCTCAGTGGTAGAAAAGCCTTAAACTTAATCCCTATCACTGTATTAAAAAAAAAAAAAGACAGCAATCAAGAAAGACAGCTAGCAACCCAGCACTGGCCTCTGACCTCCACATTGCAAGCACATGCTTGTCACTCACCCCACCCAAACTATAGTCTAGAATGTCTGCACTCACCCTACCTTTGAGCAAAATTTGTTATTAAATTTTTATCCATATTTCTTCCGGGAATTGCTTGCCGGATCTGGAGTCTGTTACTGACCTTGGCTTTTCCTTTCTTTTGCTTCTGTTTCTTCAAAGCCATCACAGCTCTGAAGGAGCACATTGGCTGGCGATACAGCCTCCTCTTTGTGGGCCTGCTGCAGCTGAACATCGTGGTCTGCGGCGCCTTGCTGAGACCAATCATCATCAAAGGACCAGGGCCACCGAAAACAATCGCTCACGAACCCCGGAGAGAAGTGCAATATATGCTTGAAAACGAGAAAACGAGAACCTCAATAGACTCCATCGACTCAGGAGTGGAACTAACTACCTCACCAAAAAACGTGCCTAGTCAAGCTCCCACGGAGCAGGAAGCCAGGGCCGAACAGCAGCAGACCCTGGTGGCTGTCCCCAAGCACAACCAGAAGAAAGCCCCACTGTTAGACTTTTCCATTTTGAAAGAGAAAAGCTTCATCTGTTATGCGCTGTTTGGCCTCTTCGCCACGCTGGGCTTCTTTGCCCCTTCGCTGTACATCATTCCTTTGGGTATTAGTCTAGGCATTGACCGCGACCGCGCCGCGTTTCTGCTATCTACAATGGCCATTGCTGAGGTGTTCGGACGGATCGGGGCCGGGTTTGTCCTCAACCGAGAGCCCATCCGGAAGATCTACATTGAGCTCATCTGCGTCATTTTACTGACCGTGTCTCTTTTCGCCTTCACGTTTGCCACTGAATTCTGGGGTCTCATGTTGTGTAGCGTGTTTTTTGGCATCATGGTTGGGACCATAGGAGGGACCCACATCCCACTGTTGGCCGAGGATGATGTCGTTGGCATTGAGAAGATGTCCTCTGCAGCTGGGGTCTATGTCTTCATCCAGAGCATTTCAGGGCTGGCAGGACCACCCTTGGCAGGTAATGAAATTGCCTTTTCCTTCTTTACTTGTGGGTGTGCATGTGCCAGGGTATGCCTGTGCCATAGTGTCCATGTGGAAGTCAGAGGACAACTTGGGGGCAGTCGGTCCTCTTCCACCATGTGGGTCCAGGAATTTAGCACAGGTTGTCAGACTTGGCAGCAAGCACCTTTACCCACTGAGCCATCGTGATGGCCCCTGCCAGGTACATTAAGAACACAGAATGCAAGCCTGTCTACTTTAATCTTCCTAGTTGTCTGGCTTGCTTCATGGAACCGATTGTAAAGTCTACTTCCATTTTTTAAACTTGAGTTGAATTTTAGTTTTCCCGGATTAGAGCTTACAATAGTTAACCTTCTTGGTTTTAAAAAGAAAGAAACTAAAAAGCCTTAAAATTTAAGGCAGTGGTCATTTTTGTTTTATGCGTGTTGGTGTTACCTGAATACATGTATGTGTACCGTGTACATACAGTGCCTATGGAGGCAGAAGAGGGCACTCTGTGCCCTGGGACTGAAGTTACAGACAGTCACAAGCTACCATGTATATGCTGGGGATTGAATCCAGGTCCTCTGGAAGAGCAGCCAGTGCTCTGACTCTCTGAGCCATCTCTCTGGCCTCCTAAATAATACCTTTCTTAAGAGGAGAAAAAGAGCTGAGCATGGTGGTGGACACCTATAATTCCAGTACTCGGGAAGCTGAAGCAAGACAGTCATAAGCTTCAGGCCAAGCTGGGCTACATAGTGAGTTCCAGGTCCCCTGGGTTGTACAGAGAGACCTTGCCTGGAAAAATGTGAGAATGACTCACAGTGGTCCTGTCCTTCCATTAACCCAAAAGTCAGATGGCAATAAGGTTATAAACTGCAAGATTTCCTTAGACAAGGCACAATGACAGACAACACGTGAGCGGCTTGGACTTGCAGACACAGGTTCTGATCTTGACTGAAGTCACTGGTTCGCAGTATGACCACTGCTGTGACTCTGAGGCCAGGCTGAACAACATAGTGAATTTCAGGGCAGTTTGGGCTACTTGTGAGACCTTGCTCGACAAACAAACAAACAAACAAACAAATAAATAATAAAATAACAAGATGGTATAGGAGATCAAGCTAATGAGATGAAGAAGTTTCCGGATTGGATAGAAGCTCAGGTGAGAGGATACGTGTAGCAGTGATGTCACTAACAGTGCCAACGCTTTCTTCTAGGCCTACTGGTTGACCAGAGCAAGATCTACAGCAGGGCCTTCTACTCCTGCGCAGCAGGCATGGCCGCAGCTGCTGTGTGCCTCGCCCTGGTTAGACCCTGTAAAAAGGGTCTGTGCCAGCATCCTCATTCAGGGGACAGCCAGCCAGACAGTCATCACAGGAAGGCGTTACAGGACATTCCAGAAGACTTTCTCGAAATGGATCTTGGGAAATGCGAGCACAGGGTTCATGTGAAAATGGATCCAGTGTGACACATTCTCATGGCACAGCTTCTATGTTGCCTGGGAAAAGAGCCCATGGGGCATGCGCCGACCACTGGACCCCACCTTCCAAACTCCAGAAAGGGAATGCATGTGTAAGCAGCAGTACCACCATGTTTCCCTTTCCCAAGTCCCTTTTGCTTGCTCTTTAAGCCAAAACCAAAACAACCAAACACTTCCATACAGGAATCCAGCCCTATTCAGTAGCAATACACAGATACGTGGAAGTTCGCTGGTTCACATCCCCACACCAAAATGATGCCATGAATTGGCAAACTGGTGTTTAACATATTCATGTGTGTAAACTACTATTTTATAAAGCGACATCCAGCCCAAGTCATGGAAATGAATTGGCCATTCTAAAAAGAAAAAAAATCTTGAATCATTAAATACGTTGCTAATTTTCAGAAATACAGATAAATTATTTTTTAAACAATTTGAAAAATTCTACTAAAGTTTAAATTGACAAACTATGACTTCTGAGTTTTCTAAATACTGCATGGAAAGAAGGCAATGCTTAAAAACTAAGCATTTGATTAATATGCAAAAAATTAAAAACACATAACAACTTGAATTTCAAAGATTACTACTTCTCTTTATGGCCAGCCACTACCACAAGTATTTCAATAGAAATGTTAAATTGCATTCATGTTTCCTATTGTTTTTCATAATTCAAGAAATAAGTGACTGTAGTGTCTTTAATTTAAATCAATATTTATTATTAAGTTATTCTAGGTTGAGTAGAATGATCAAAAGAAGGGCCGGTAAGATGGCTCAGTGGGTGAAGGTGTTTGCAGCCAAGATTTAGGACCTGAATTCAATCCACATGGTAGAAAGAGAGTACCAACTTCAAGTCGTCCTCTGACCCCCACACACATGCTATGACATACATGCACCCACACATATATACACACAAAAAATTTTAAAACATAAAAAAATCTAATAATCAAAAAGAAAAAAAGTTTTTTTTTTTTTTTCCTTTTGGTTTTACGAGACAGGGTTTCTGGAACTCGCTTTGTGGACCAGGCTGGTCTTGAACTCACAGAGATCCGCCTACCTCTGCCTCCCGAGTGCTGGGACTAAAGGCGTGTGCCACCACCGCCTGGCTTACAGGATTTTTTTTTTTAACCACCCTTCTGTAGCTCTTTAGATGCTTCAGAGAGCTTTTCTTGTCTGGTGACATTAATCTCCTGACAGCCCAAGCTGTAGTGATTCTTCAGCATTATGAAAGGCAGCGTGTGCTATTTAAGGGCAGGGGGAGCTAATGGATGGCAAATCGCCTCCATTTTTAAATGATCACCTAAGAATACTTGAGAATCTTCTTTGGTCAGAATTATAGTTCAATGAATTGTTAGAACATTTCCAGTGATTTTCGTTGTCGTTGTTCAATCTTTAACTGTTGAAGCATTTCTTGGTTTCATCTGAAGTCGGAGAAATGTTTCCGTGAGTTCCAAGTTGCAATTTACATCTTCCATAGAACTTGATTGTCCTACGTTGCCATGGGTACCAGGTACCCGGTCACTGCTGTTGGCAAGGTCCACATGTGTGTATCGTGTTCTGCATTCTAGCAGTTCTCTGTAAAGGGGGCAGGGCGAGGAGGAGAGGGGGCTGCCTCCTTGCCTGGTTGACTGCATCTCCCCGACTGGGTGGCCGGTGCTCGCTGCTCAAGTATTTCCTCATCTTTACTGTTCAAGACAACTCAGGGGGAACATAGAACAAGCCTAGTTGGGTTACAGGTACACACAAGCTTGAATCTTTCTCTGCACTAAGATGAAAGTGGCGTAGTTCGTCACCACTGGCTACCTTTTATACAGCATCCTAGCAGCCATAGAAATAGGACAATCTGTAAAACTTTGGGGAGGGTGAGTGACTTGACAAAGTGTCCAAAAAAACGCGGATGCACCTTAAACAAGGTGGATGTAGCAAAGTTCTGTGGGGCCGCCCCGAGAAGCGCGTCAGCCTTGTGGGCAGTTTCGCAGACGTCCGTGACTTCAGCACTTTACGACCTATTTTGTACTACGAATGTTCGATACGATTTAATATTTATAACTGATTTCTGAGGGATCTACTCTAAGTTTATTCTGTTTACTGCATGAGACAAGAAAATGGATGCCAACTTCAGTATGTCAGCAATCAGGGGTGTAAATGTTGGAAAGGGAAAAAAAGAAAAACACAGGATCGCTGGTCTGTTCTGTATGAGTCACATTCCGGTACTTCTAGATTTACAATAAATTAATGGCTTTTTATTTAAAGAGTCTGATGCTCTTCTGTATTGAGTGCTTTTTAATGATTTCAGAAACTGCAAAATCTTTGAGCTACTCCAGGACACACAGGACTCTCAAGGCATGGGTAATGCAATCTTCCTTTTTTTTCCCTTTCATCCATAGTAAAGACACAGAAAAATGCCCAGAAACTTTTTAAAACATAATTTCCTTAATTCTTTAAGAATTTCATACAAAATATTTTTAAATTTATTTTTATTTTATGTTCATTGGGTGTTTTTCCTGCATGTATGTCTGTGTGATGGTGTCAGATCCCCTGGAACTGGCGTTACAGACAGGTGTGAGCTGCCATGTGGGTGCTGGGATTTGAACCTGGATCTTTTGGAAGAATAGTCAATGTTCTTAACTGCCAAGCCAACTCTCCAGCCCCCATACAGTGTATTTTTGAGCATGGTCAACCCTCATTCCTCTTCCTAACTCCTCCCAAATTCACCTCACCTCCCTCCCACCCCTACTTTGTATTGTTGGTTTGCTTGTTTGTTTTATAACCCATGGAGTCCAGTTTGTGTAGTTTGGGTCTGAAGCAAGATGGACCTACCAGAGTCCACACCATTAAAGAAAACAGAACTCTCCCTTCCCGAGAAGCTGTCAATAGCTCCTTAGCTTAGGTGGGGGCTCATGAGCCCCTCCCCATCTGTGCTGGAATGCTGTCTGGCTCGATCTTGTGTAGGCAACCACAGCCGCTGTTTGTTCACAAACAAACACCGTGCACGTGCGGGGGAGGGGGGGCATAGTGTCAGAAGATAGTGGTTTTGCTCTGGTTCTCCTTGACTTCTGGTTCTTAACAATCTTTTCACCTCCTCTTCCAAGATAGTCCCTGAGCCTTCGTGGGGTGGTGGCGGACAGATTTGTCCCTTAGCACTCCACTGACACATACTCTCTGCATAACACGAAAGCTCACTAAGGCTTCACTCACTGAGACCGGTTCACAGGCCGACCACAAACTCTGCATTCAGTCCTGTCTCAGCCTCCACGTACGCTATGCACAGCGGACCTTTTTTGTCTTTTTTTCCTTTCCCCCGGTGTGTTTTTTGAGATGGGATCTCTCTCCACAGCCCTGGCTGTCCTGGAACTCTTGCTCTGTGGACCAGACTGACCTCAAACTCACCGAGATCTACCTGGCTCTGGCCCTGCAGTGCTGGGATTAAAGGTGTGTGTAAGAGGTTGCTTGTTTGTTTCCCGGCCTCCCAAAAGCTAAGACTCGAAATAACCACACAGAAACTATATTATTTAAAATATTGCTTGGCCCATTAGCTCTAAGCTCTTATTGGCTAACTCTTATATCTTAATTTAGCCCATTTCTAGTAATCTTTGTATCACCACATGGCTGTGGCTTACCGAGTAAAATTCTAGCGTCTGTCTCCGGTCGGGCTACATGGCTTCTCTCTGACTCCGCCCTTTTTCTCCCATTCAGTTTAGCTTTCCCAATCTATCTAAGTTCTGCCCTGCTATAGGTCCAAAGCAGTTTCTTTATTCATTAATGGTAATCACAGCATACAGAGGGGACTCCCACATCCACCTCCCCTTTTCTGTTAAAATAAAAAGGAAGGTTTTAACTTTAACATAGTAAAATTACATATAACAAAACAGGTATCGAGCAAGAATTACAGTCACAATTTGTTTATCTACTTATCTTTTATCATGACTAAGGAAAACTATAACTATAAACTCCTCAACTCCATCAAAGACTCCAGAAGGATATGATATTACCTAAGTAAACAGGAAGTGCATTGTAAGCAACTTCCAAAACTCTAGAAATGACAGAAGCATCTCACTGCCTGGACAGTCACCCAGAGTTCTGTGCCATTGGGGCATCCATCTTCAGCCTACAGGCCCATAGTATCTGGCAGAGTTTTCCATGAAGCAGGAAATTTTAAAAAGTTCCGCCAGTATTGGCAGTTGGTCAGTCACTTTCTTCTGTGGCCTGCAGAATGTCTGACAGTCTCTTTCATGAAGCAGGAACCCTGAAGGACCTTCTCACCTTTAGGCAAGTTCAGCAGTCATTTCTCTGTGGATCCTGCATGTTCAGTTCACACAGCATAGCATCAAGCAGTCTAGGCAGGAGCAGTTTCTTGCCCCAAATGGCTAACCAACTCCATAAGGAGCCTCTTCGATGCCCATCTTCCTCTTGAAGTAATTGGAGCTGCTGCTGGAGACAGTCTCCAAAACTTTACCCGCTAAGCCACAGCCACATGGCGATACACAAATTATTAGAAATGGGTTCAATTAAGATATAAGAGTTAGCCAAGGGGCTGGAGAGATGGCTCAGAGGTTAAGAGCACTGACTGCTCTTCCAGAGGACCTGAGTTCAATTCCCAGCAACCACATGGTGCCTCACAACCATCTGTAATGAGATCTGGTACATGCAGGCATACACGGAAGGAATGTTGTATACATAATAAATAAATAAATAAACAAATCTTAAACAAACAAGCAAACAAACCCTTAAAAAAAAGAGTTAGCCAATAAGAACCTCGAGCTAATGGGCCAAGCAGTGATTTAAATAATATGGTTTCTGTGTGATTATTTCAGGGCTGAGCAGCTGGGAACCAACAAGGGACCTTCCTCCAACAGGTGTGCACTACAATGATGAACTTGACCGTTTATCTTCTGCTGACTCTTTCCTATAAGTTATTTTGAAATGCTTTAAAAAATAATTCAAAGGAAAAGGAAGAATTCAACAACGGACAACAGGACAGATGAAAATTAAATAGCCTAATCACGCTGGAAAGAAACATTCTCAATTAAAGAATGAAACACAATTTAACCTGAAACTCTATTATTATTTCTGCCCCTCCTCCTCCTCTTCTTTTAATGAGACAGAGTCTCAACTTTGTCCTGCCTGACCTCAAATTCATGGCAGTCCTCCTGCCTCAGCCTCTTGTACGCAAGAATTAAAAGTACATTCTTTTTATGGGGTAAAGGCCCCCATTCCTCAACCAATTTCATTTGTTTTTCTTTCTTTCTTCCTACCTTCTTTTGCATGTGTGTGTTAAATGGGTGCACTTGTCAGTGTGCACGTGGGGACCAGCAAGATTACTCAGCTAAACTTAATAAATAACTCAAGTCTGATCTCCAGAACCTACATACTGGAAGAGAGAACCAAGTTGGACGCGCTGTCCTCTGACACCTACACACAGAAACCACGGCATATGTGCTCTTCCATCCCCATGCACTCGAGATAAAATATAGTTTTTAAAACATAATAAAAACATTGGGCATGGTAGTACATGTCTGTAATCTCAGCATTTGGAAGTCAGTGGCAGGAGGATGGTGGTAGTAAGTTCAAGGT